GTTCATGTTCAGCCTCACGATAAGTAGGAAGACCATGGTCTGCTGCATGGCCATGGACCATGGGCTTCTGCATGGCCTGCAAGACCATGGCCCCCAAACGCCTCCCGGTTGTACGGCTATGCGGTTATCTCGGTACCTTCACGGCGATGAGGCTATCGGCATGCTATCGTATGTCACGATGGTGCGATGCCAGACTAGCGAGTGCACAAAGCCGGAGGATTCGAAATTCAAATTGATAACAACTGCGTGAATAACCGCTGCCCCTGGTATCAGCCTTACGTGCGTGCATCAGACACTGTGGGGCGCGCAGCAGGCGTGACTAAGAATTGTTATCAGCACCCCAACACCGCTCCTGAGCCCGGCTCGGGAAGCGATGCGCGCGACTCATCGACTGATACGGCCGTTTGAGCTACTGGCCTACTAAAGCACAAATATACACGTCTCATCCCGCAAGATAACGTCCGACTTCCACGATGTACATGTATAATCTCGCAATGGCCTTGTATTGTCAATGGCTGTGTTGATGCCGGGAAGTGCAGGCGAGGTGTTGGTGCAGAGGGAATCATTACACGAGACAACAGGCTCCACCATTGGTGCTAATTCGCTCCTTACTTTCGGCCGGTTGTTTCATTTGTCCATGCCATGCACTCATTTGTCCCGGACATTCTCAGGAGACGCTGGAGTTCTCACGTCAGTTGTGAGCGCCATACCCCCCCCCCCCCCCCCCCCCCCATTAGGACATTGCCCCTGGGCATGGCGGCGTTCTCACGGCAGTTGTGAGTGCCCGGGTCTCCACTTGGACATTGGTCCCGGGCATGGCTGGAGTGCTCCCGTCAGTTGTGAGTGTCAGGGACCCCCCCCCCCCCGCCCCCACCTCACCCCAGTTGGACGTAATCCCAGGCATGGCTGGAGTTCTAATGAGAGTCGTGGGTGTCACGGCCTCCAAGGCGTTAGCAACATTTAGCTTAGAGCCTACAGAGTACGCCGATATTTTGGGACCAAAAAGGCTCTAAAATACTACCCTTCCCCACCTCGACTCTGAAATCTCCGCCGCTGGTCCTGGCAAGTTCACGGGAACAGTTCATGGTAGCCATATCGGTCGCCTGGTCCGTTATCTTTTCCGGTGTCCAGCCCATAGCCTCACGATCACTGGTCCGCTGCTCCAATCACGACCGTGAGTGAGCACGTTCCATATACGTCGCAAGTCGTTAATGTTAGTCTGCCACATATCTTTGTTGAGCTTTCCTAGTTCGCAAAGTTGTTGTTGACTGGAGTTTTAAGGCGCGCCGACTACTGTGGTCATTTTGCGCCCACTAGTTTGTGAAGTCATACTGACTGATGTCTGCAGGTTTAAGCCAGGTTTAAGCCAGTATGGCCGAAATGCTTTAGAGTTGCCACTTTTAAGCCCGCAGCCCCGCAAAGCATACGTGTCTTTCGTTCTGGACCTGGCAGGTTTTGTTGGTATTTCAGTTCTGAACATATACAATACTCATATTGTGCAGACCTCTGACACCAGACTTGGGGATGAAGCCGTCTTCGGCTTCGCGAAGCTGTGGTTATCTGCAATGGCTCCGGGATGCAGCTTCGGTTCTGAGGGATTTCCCTCAGCTGGCTTAGGCTAAGGCCTCAGTTTCGCGCCATGACAGACGGTTTGATTCGGCTTTGTATTTGTGTCCCTTTTTAACAGCTGGATTGGGCGTCGGCTTTGAACACGTTTTGGTATGTGAGTACAGCTTCAGCTCCATGCGATCTTGAACTACTAACCTTGGCTTGGCCATGGCGATTTCTCACTGAAGTTGTGCGTTCACTTCACATAGACACCCCTGACCATCCAGACATCACAATATACAACAAAAAACATTACAGGGCTAGGACGCACACATGAATGACGCGCACTGAAAGACAAGAATCGCACGCTGAGATCCCAAATCCGCCGATCATTCTCAGGACCAACTAATATGTGCCGACGGCCCGGTGATGATCTGGGCTTTAGAACGCGCTGCCTGCCCTGGTCATTTGATGCCCTGAGCCCCCGGAGAACGAACCGCTCGAAACGTTGTGAACAAGGACAAGGACAACAGACCGGGAGGAAATCTGCCGTGGTGCTGATTCTCCGTATCAACGGGTCGGTAAAACTTCCCGATTTCACACAATTTTGGCGAACGCGAAATGGTATTGGTTTCACAGAAAAGCCCTGCAGAATGGATTTATCTTCCACTTTATACTCGAAATGTCAAATTAATGAATTTGGCTTTGTCTTCGCGTTCCCTACGCTTAACGCTGCTGGCTTCTGCTTCAGCTTCCCAATACAAAGTCCGAAGCCAGTCGCTTCAAATTCTGCATCCCGTTTTCAAATCACAATTTTGCAGTTTCAAACTTCGAAGCCGCCGGCTCCGGCTTCGGCTTCGGCTCCAAATTAATGCTTTCTTTTCTTGCCCTCGGATTTGGCTTCGTAGTCCCAAGTCTGGCTTCGTTCCCATACCTGCTTTACACGTATACTTTTGTTCCCAGGCAAAACAAGATGTGGTCAAATGCACAACTTCACATGGCGTAATTTACGTACCTTAACTACGGCTAATAGTGTTTTAGCGTACCAGATCCTGCATTGGCAACCCCAATATACGACGTTTATTGACCAAAGAACGAAACAGCACAAGCAAAATTAAAAACACGCACTGCGCACAAAGCAACCTGTTATTCACAAAAATACCCCACACCTTTCAGTTTTATCAAAGCCTTTAAGGATGCAGATATAAACTAGGTTAAGCATGATGTTAATGGACGAAACGTGGGACAATGCTAATGATCCCATCCCGTCCGGTCTGGTCCAGTTTTGTCCGGTTTTATCCGGCATCGTCCAGTTCTGTCCGGTCTCATTCGGTGCCATAAGACCCAGTTGGTTCCGTCCATTCCCATCTGGTCCCGTCCCGTCCCACCCGGTCACGGATGCCACGTCCAGTCCCGTCCAGTCACGTCAAGTCACGTCCATTTCCGTCTGGTCACGTCCCGTCCCGTCCAGTCACGTCTAGTCCCATCCAGTCACGTCTGCCTCCGTCTAGTCACACCCGGTCACATCTGGTCACGTCCAGTCACGTTCAGTCACGCCCATTTCCGTCTAGTCACGTCCAGTTACGTCCAGGCACGTTCAGTCACGTCCAGTCACGTTCAGCCACGCCCATTTCCGTCTAGTCACGTCCAGTCACGTCCAGCTACGTCCAGACACGTTCAGTCACGTCCGGTCACGCCTGGTCCGGTCCATTTTCTTCTGGGTCAGACCTCAAAGGCTTCTTTTTCATGCCTAAACACATTGGCTGGTGCCAGTTTGTTTCTCGCCCACTTCCCCATCGCGCGAAACTAGGCCGGCTCGGGCTCAAAATCAACCAGGGTTGAGGCCATCATGTATGCTGACTATATGACATCCATGTCATCCTATTTACTAAATTAAACATGTGAATTAACCATCCTATTTACTGCATTAAAAATGTCATCCAATGTTTACTATTCCTCATCCTCTCCCAATGGGTACACAAATTTACCAAGTTTTAATGATAAACACTTATCAACTTCCATCCAACAGTGTTCCCTCATCCTGGGCACCTCAAAGAGCATGCCCACACACCTTAAACATGTCAGTTTTGGACAGTAAGCATTCCAGCCCCCTTTCCACACTTTTTTACTAACAACCATAAGTGTGCCAAGGTTTCTTTCACATTTCCACCAGTCATACTTTTTTCTCCAAAAATATCCTCAGTTTTTGTATTCAACATTCCCTTATCTGTCACAACCTGGGCCTTATCAGGCAAAGAACACAACAGGTGGGCTAGTCAGGCAAGATGATCTTCACATATTCAACATGCTCATTATAAATGTTCCATTCAGGCCCCTGCTCGGAAAATGTGTTATCAATTTCAACATATTTGCACAGGAATATTTTCTTAAAGGCGTGCATGCAAGGGAAGATTACTCAAATTGTTTGCACTGAGTTATCAATAAATTAGTTGGGGTGACAAATGGATGCTGCCTGGCTCAGTCCTAGTAGAGGTCTGGCATTCTGCCATGCTTTTGCCATTTTGAAGATCTCTATCAACAAGAAAAGACTTAGGTTAAGACAATGTTTTTTGATGGTGTCAAACTTTGATCAGTTTTTTCATTCTACCAGCTATGCAGTCTTTGAATCATAACCTTCACCACATGAGTTTTGTATTTTGTTGTGTAATAATAATATGATGGATAGATAGGGAATATTGGACTGGATGATATTGATCAGCAATACGAGTGTGAACGTCAAACTGGTGGTGGCAGCCTCAACTATGCTGTATACCTCTTGGATGCCACAGAATGCATGAATAGCAATTATGGACAAATGGTGCAAGCAGATGAACAATCATGAAGACAGTATAGATAAACAAATGTGAGGACAACTAACATCAACAAAGAATACAGTTCATAAAATGACTGATACAATGATGAATGGAACAGGTCAAACTCAGCAAGACTAAATAAAGAACAATATAATAGGATAGCAATAAAAATATAGCAAACATCAATAAAATATCACACATATAAATGCCAAGATAGCATGGGTGCCTTAGTTTCAAACCGATGGGTGAATACAATACTTTATAAAACCAGCTACAGAACTAAAGCTGATCCTTACCAAACTATCCTTAATGGTACACAATGGTAACAAAACACGCCCCCAGTGTCATTCGACAACAGTCTTCTCAAAAATTTCCACGTCTAGCTGACTTACAATGGTGGCCACATTCAACATCAAACAATGAATAGTTCTTTGAAGCAAAAAAAGAAACAACCCTGCAGGTCTGTAATTGTTTCTGGGGTTGGGGTGCCGAGCAGTGGTTATGAAATTCTGGCTGTATCATTTAATTGCAAAACACAGATGAATGCTAAATTTGCCCTACGAAGTACCTTGTTATCAATATACAGGGCACCTAATTGCAACGATGCATGCACTGCAGCATAAGAACTACAAAACTTACCGAATTCAAGCCAGGTGTACGAGGTTGCAATGCTCTTCAGCAGTCAACGCAAGGCTAACCTTAATTCAGGGCTTGAAATGTCTGTGATAACAAAGGCACAGATCGAACAACGACCACCAGCGGCAGCGAGGTACTCCTCGCACGCAACGATTATCGCTACGCCTACACGACTCCCCGCGCTGACGTTTGAGCTGGCAAATCATGACACACCATACCTTGGCACTGACGTCAGAAATAACCCCGCGCGCCAAAACTGTCTCGTATCGTTCATGTTAGCGGCTCGGTATCAGCTCAATTAAGGGCCCTCACCAAAAGTAAAATCAAACAGCCAAAATAAACCCTCACCACCTTATAAAAGTTATAAGCAAAATAGACCCGCCCTAAACGGATGGAATTATTGTAATCGAAATAGACTCTTCCTTCCGTAATCAAATAAGCTATTCAACCGCGATGCTTAGTCAAGTCCCCAAGCGGGCAAAAGGCACCCATAAAGGACACCATCTTCCAGATTGGCTGAGATACCGCCATAAAGATGAAACAAATACGCGCGTCAACTAGGAGCCGGGTCTAGATTCATGTTCAGATCAACATTCGCGGACTTCTTCAATTTGCTGGGCAATCGGTACACATATAAATCTTAGCTTCCTGAGCTTCCTGGTGAAAATGCAAACTGGCAGGCCTAAAAGTGAAAAAGCTAATTCTACCAGAACAGTTTGCAAGCCCTCCACCCCCAAAAAGCGAAGCCTGGTTCCACCCCTGACCGCTTATGTCCTGTGGCACAAAACGTGGTTCGTGATTAAAACGCACAGTCTACTCAACATAAACTGAGCGTCAGTTGATATGCATTATACCTGGAAAGCGTGCACACCAACGCCAGATGTTACGATATTGACGAAATATTCTTACTGACCTTGAACACCGCGTGACCAGCGGGGTAGCAGCAGGTAAAGGACGTTTTTATGGCGTCATGCATGCTTGAATGACCTTGAAATATCACGCTCAAAATAGTTTGCACATATTCGCGGTTGTTAACCTCAAAACAACATGGTTTTAGATCTCAAGAAGGGCAGGTCTGTGAACTGCGCCGAATGATCCTCAAAATGGCTATTTCAGTTTAGGATTATGTACCAATGTAGAACACTCCCTCTAAGCTGAGCAAGTTCCTGCCGCTGTCGCGCGTTGAACCTGCGTTCATGTGTTGTTGAACTGGCGGGTTGGCCCATCAGAAAACGCAGAAGCTTGACGACTTGACGGATGGTTTCCTTGGCGTTGCGCCCCATATTACGAAGAACAGTCACGTGTACATATTTTCCACCTTGGAGCATGGCAAAGGGTGGTTGCTCCCATGTCCCTCCAGTAGCGTTGCTCCTGTGTTAAGCAGAGAACAAATATGTAGCCTATGTTGAAAAAAAACGCTGCCGACGTTCTTTTTTCCTCCAGTTATACGGCACCAAATATTACAAACCGTCTGGCAAAACAGAACGGCACGGAAAAGACATCACGAAAAGCAGACAGCGGGGCCGTTTTAGTATTATACAGCTAATTGTGAGAGAACTTCTGGCGCGCGTGTCATGGTCATTGGCCGACGGCACGTATGTTATAGGCGCGAATTCTTGAAAGCATATTATACAATGAGTGTGGCTGTCCAAAGCATGGTGACGAAACTACGGCAGTTATAAAAAAATGTTTTTAAATTACACGGATGGTCCAATGCGTGCGTTTGATAGTATTGCGGAATAGCTATGCACTGACACCATAACGTGGTTTTTAGCCGAAGGCGCGCATTTTATAAATATTTGACCCCGACAGCACTTGCTAGCTCTGTAGAAGGTCAATCGACGTGCATCGTTGCGTGGGCGCAGGGTGGCTGCACACGTTCTATTCGCATGACCCTCAGACAACGCATCACGTAATGCGGGCGGTTCGTCGCAGCGGTGATTGGTTACATTACGGTAGACTTTTCGGCATAATTGTCATCTTGTGCCGAGGGTGGAACCGTGTACATTCGATGGCATCATGACAGGGCTATTGACTGACAATGAAACCCGGTCATCAGCCGACGGCACCCGCTTTCTTGGTATGACTCGCTGACAGCACATTACTGAACGTGCCCAGCTGGCTGCCGCAATGTGCTGGTGAAACTGTTGCAGATGCTTGCATTTGTATACTGAAAATCGTGCTCATACTTAAAACCATGCATATACTTTTTTTTGGGGGGAGGCATAAGCAACACATACTTAAGCCATTTCAAACAATTATAATTGTACGCAGAGGCAGCATCCATGTATGTTTGGAAGCATTGTGAAACATTGTGTCAGGACTATCAGCAGGCACGGTAGCATTGTGCCAGGACTATCAGCAGGCACGGTAGCATCGTGCTCGGCCAAAGCCACCTTTTTTCGTATGAAGATTGACAGCGAATTACTGAATGCAGACAACCGGTCGTGAAATAAATAAGCGGATTTGTTAAGGTATAGCAGTCTTTAAATATTTTTTGCGGAGTGGGTGCGACAGTCCCAATTCGATAGCACTAAAAGAGTCTTTCTACTGTCATCGTAAGATGGCCATCAGCCAACAACACTTTCTTTGAGAGATGGCTTCCTGACAGCGCGTTTCTAAACACGGCAACCTTCCGAACGATGGTAATGCATGCAATCTTGCACGGAGGGTGAAAAGCTGAACGTTGCATAGCGCTGCTAAAGGCTCGCACAATGAAGTGATCGTTGGCCAAATTCACGTACTTTATCGGTATGATTCCGTGACATTGCATCACTGAATGCCTGCGGCCAGCAGGAGCGTGGCGGCTAAATTAAGGCAGTCATTAAATCTGCTTTGAATCGTGAACGGGAGAGGTGACCTTGTGCGTTGCATTTAAGTGCTTTAGTATGCCTCACCAACAGCTCATCACTGAATGCGGTCGGCCGGCTGGAGCGCGGTGGGCAAAATACGGCAGCGATTAAGAACACACTTGTAATCTTGCACAGGGGATTCAATAGCGTGCTTTTGATAGCACTGTTGGAGAGCTATTAACTGGTGCCCAAACGTGGTCATAATAATAACGCAATTATTACATTGACATGACCTGCTGACAGCGCATTTTTGAATGGAGGCGACCGACCGGAGGCAGGTGGTGAAAATATGGCAACCATTACAAATACTTTTAATCGGGCGCAGAGCGGGTGCCCGTTTGCGTTTGGCAGCACTATAACAATGCCAACAGCTGATCTAACAAAATCGTGCTTGGGAGGAGACGCCTCTGGAACTGCATGTCGTGCCGCCACACATAATATTTTCCGGGCGTGCAGAGTTTGAAATAATAAGTGAAAAATATTTGCCAGACGCCTTTTCAGATCCTTGATCGATGTGAAACGGAAATGGCTGAGCAGGCCCCATTGTTAGGATGTGGACACTTCCGGTAAATATCCTATGTGACATCGCGTAGAATACAGCATTTTTGGTACGCCACGAACATGCCCTAGATTTCAAAGTAACGGCAACGCTTTGAAAGTAATAATGTGGTGCAGCCATGTGCATTTAATAGCACTGCAGGAGTGTTAAGAGAACTGGCGTCGCACACTGGCCATCAGTGGACGGCCGCTGTGTTATTGGAACACACAACGCGCTAACAGCGCGTTACTGAACGCGGGCGGGCGGCGGGACTGCAGGAAAAACTACGGCGGCTATTTAAACAACATCCGACAACCGTACCTGCGGGATGCCACCGCGCGTGTTTCGTGGCGTTGTGGGCGAACTATCAAATGACCCCGTGACATGATCACCGGGTGATGTCACGTGTGTTAATGGTGTGCCCCTCTGGCGGCGCATTATTGAATGTGCACGGCCTGCCAGGGCGTGTTGGCGAAACTACGGCAGTCATTTAAAAATAGTTATAATCTTTGGCGAAGCGTGCGGCCGCGAGCATTTGGTAGCACTGGGACAGTTGCATCAGCTGGCTCCGTGACAAGGTCACCGGCCGACGGCGGTAATAATGGTGGTAATGGCGATGGCGACGGTAGTGTTTCGTTGGCAGCCTGACATGTGTCGTAGACCAAAAGTTCTTTGGAATAGGTGATCGATCGTTTAGCCATTGAATCAGTTGCGTGAACTTAAAATCTAAATCGATGGTGGACAAAGCTAGGTAAACGTTAAATCTATGTCATGATTTCTCCCTGACTTATAACATGTATGTACCTTCTGGGGCACATTTTTTAGGTTTAAGGGGGCTGCAGTTATCCTGTTGCACCCTCCATGATGATGTCAGCGCATGGTAGGGTCACCATACCAAGCGGTGCTATTTCTCACATGGCACATATATATTCACTGGATGAAGTTATGTGTGGAGCAGCATCCTTTCTATATGCCATCGTCACCAGCCGAGCGTCCGTCTTTATCAATCAGACTCGATGACGTTCATAATGCTCTTAAATTACTGTTAAATTTGGCACGCTCTGATTTGTCGTTACGATTTTGTTCCAGTCTTAACGGAATGCAAAATTCCCCACTTTTTGTTATTGAAGCTTAAATGCATTTTTTGCTGAGTGTTTTGAAAAGATAACATAAGTCAGCGGTTAAACGCCGTTTTACTGCAGTTTGGGGCCACTGAGAACAATACTGCCAGGGCGTGCACTAACTTCACACCATGTCAATTACTATATACAGAGCACACTTGTTTCCGATGTAGAATGAGCGGAAACAAAAATTAGAAAAAATTGTCTCGTATACAGAGGGTACAGCCTCCTCAGAACAGGTGATTGTTGTCAGCCGTCAACTCTTATCTTGCCAGGCTGATCAAGCAATGCAGTCTATGGAAATGTGCATCGCTGCAATGAAAAGTCAACCTTTGGTGGCCTCTTGTTGTCCCCCCTCCAGATTGAGCAGCTGGATGCGCCCCTGCCACCGTGTTTTTTAATAAATCGCCGCTTCTACAAAACTTTAAGTGCGAGGGAGACGTTTCTAGTGTCGTAAAATACACACAATGGATGCCCCACAAGCTGCTGAAAAAGAAGGCGCGATTGCACGACATACTAGGAAGTTATCCACCAAAACCTTACAGGGGAAGGGCGCATCGATCACCGGGGTGGGAGAGGGGGGGGGGGGGTCCCTATCGGAGCGGACGACTTTTTAGTTGGGCCAACAGTGAGAACAAACTTCAGTGGTCTCACAATATGGGGTGCCCATTCTTTGATGGAACCCTGGATCCGCCCTTGCGTCAGTCGCACCGCTCCAGGCAGTACCACTCGCACCGCTTCCACCCTGCCCAGCGTAGCCTTGCTGGCGGCAATCCGTCAGTCATGTGGCCCATGCCCGCGCTTGCCCGGGAACGGGACATGTTGCCTTGCCTCGGCGTTATCCCAGGCAGTGCCGCCGGGCGACCTTGAAACACAATCTCTAGACCAATGGCACGCCTCCGCAGGGTGACGTCAGTGCAGCCGCGACCGTGTCGGCTCATAACCGTCTTTGTTTACAAGCGGATAGGAGCTCTAGTGGCGGGCGGCCGCGTAGCGTTCTGTGGCGTGTGTATGGGTGTGTGAGTGCGAGTGTGCGTGCCGGAGACCGACTAGGCCTTTGGCTGAGCCTCCGTGCAATGGCTGGTCAGTGAAAGGGACGCGGCCATGACGGGCATCGAGACTGCGGCGCCGGGCGGCGTGGCCGGTTATGGCCAGCCGCGTACATACGACCCATCCTTTCACGGCCCTGTCAAGAAACGCTCGTGCACGGACATCTTGTGCGCCATCCTCTTCTTCGTGTTCCTTGTGGGCTGGGCGCTGGTGGCGGCGTACGCCATCTTCTACGGCGATCCCGAGATCCTCGTGTTCCCCACCGACTCTGACGGGCGTAAATGCGGCCGCGACGCGGAGGTGGCCGACCGGCCGTTCCTTCTGTACTTCGACATCAGCCAGTGCTCGTCGCCGCTGGTGCTGATCGCGGGCTGCCCGACGCCGCAGGTGTGCGTGGCCCGCTGCCCGCAGGAGAGCGTGCTGGCGCTGCCGTACGCGCTGGACGAGCGGCTGTGCACGCCGGAGGCGCGGCGCCGGCTCACCTGCCGGCCCGGCGTGGACGCCACCGACACGCGGCGCTCGTGTCGAAGCCTGCTGCGCGACACAGACGATTGCGCGCCCTACACGCTGCGCAGCGCGACCGTGCTCGGCCGCTGCGTGCCCAACCTCGGCCTGACCGACGTGTCGGACGGCAAGGTGACGGACGCCGACGGCCGGCAGATGGACGTGACGGTGGAGTCGGTGTACAAGGGCGCCGAGCGGATGGGCGTCTTCGTCAGCCTCAAAGGATTCGGTACGGCCCTGCGACGGAGCGGAGCCAGACGGCGCTGACTGCCGTCTCGGTGCAGCGAACGAGTGGAATGTGATCTGGTGGGCGCGTCGGGTTCGGCTCATAAAAGGGGCGTGATGACGTGTGTCACGTTCCCTTCAGAAAAGGGTTCGGCTCAACCCAGTCCAATGAGGATGGGTTTCGATCCATTTAGTCATGGACATACGCAATTAATTTGGTCTGGTCTGGTCAGAAACGGATGGGATATGAACTGGCCTGTTCCAGGACGGGCGTAATAATTCGGTCTGGAAGCAACGGGTGGGATTTTTGTGTGGTTTGCGTTCTGGGCCGGGACGACGGGGCCCCATCCAGTCTGGTCGAGACCGTTGAGGGATGCTGAGTCTCTTCAAGAGTGGGCGGGATTCGATGATTGCCTGGTCAGGGGTGGATGGGATTCGGTGATTGCGTGGTCAGGGATGGATGGGATTCGATGATTGCCTGATCAGGGATGGACGGGACTCGGCGGTTGCCTGGTCAGGGTTGGATGGGATTTGGTGATTGCCTGGTCAGGGACAGATGACGCTCGGTGGCTGCCTGGCCAGGGATTGATGGGATTTGGTGATTGCGTGGTCAGGGGTGGGTAGGACTCGGTGATTGCCTGATAAGGGGTGGACGGGATTCGGTGATTGCCCGGTCAGGGGTAAATGGGATTCAGCGATTGCCTGGTCAGGGATGGGTGAGATTCGGCTCAGTTTTACGGGAAACGGATAAGATCGGGGACGACGCTGCGCCTTGAGGACTGGAGGGGATGGAAACACACGTATGGTTCGTGGTCCAGTGGAGTTCGAGCCAACTGGGTAATAAGGAGAACTTGCGTTGAGTGAGGCCCTACACCGACACCCCTCCCCCTCCCCCGCTCCCCCGGCCCGTCAGTGGGAGGTTTCCCAGCGTGATTGGCCGGGGATTGCCGCCCACCGGCGCCTGACGTGTATCCGCTGGCATGGCGGTAGGGTGAGTAACGGCCCGGTACGCCCACGGCAGCGGTGGCGAGCGTGCAGGAGCGAGGCTCCCCTGGCACTGTGGTTGTCAGCCGGAGTGCACGGTGTATGAAACGACATTCCGTAGCGTAGCTGCACTACAGGATAAGTTGCCGTTTCCTCCTGAAAATATTTCCTGCCCAGTCAAACAAAGGCATGAAGCAAGAAGATTTCGCGCATAAATTGTCATAAATACCATGAGTTTTAGGTTGGACTTCATGCACTTTTCGGTCTAGTTTTTGGGTCAGGAAGCATTTGATTGGCGTCTGCTGCTCGCGCTTAGGGAAGCCAATGTCGGTTTTCATTATGAACAACGGCTAAGTCATCCGTCCATGGACGCTTGGCAGCTGCTTGAAATGCTCACCTGGTCCCACGCGCTCCAAGGAACTTTGCAGAGACCAGGTCATTAAAAGATATGAGCTCACTAAAAACGTCGTTTTTTTATTTTTCGTAGGAAAACCAGTACACTGTGATCCTGTACAGAAGTTTTGACTTCATTAACTTCCGAACACTTCAAATATTGTCGGCTTTGTGCTCTGTACACTGTCACGGTGCCAAGGACTACAGCGATGCCGTTGTGTATCACCACGTGATGCCCAACTCCCCTGGGACCCGTGTTGAGGCCACAAGTTTGGGGTATTTTTGCAGCCTGAAGAGAGCGTAGCGGTCAAGAAAGGAGTTGGGTAAATGTCAAAACTGTCTAAAACTGACTAGTTCTCCCTTTTCGTGGCGTGACCTAAAATGTCCCTGAACATGATGTTCACGACGGCATCTTAAGCGTGCCAAACCCTACTTGAGTTACCATCATTTTGTCCGAATTATGAGTCCTAATAGTGTGAGAATTGCTCGGATCTGATATTTCGACGCGTTATCTTTGTCCTGCGCAACTATCGTGTGGAGGGACCTAAGCGCTCAGACAGCCAAACAAATAGCACGTGACACCCTTCGGCCTACTTTTGAACGCATTTTCCCTTCTTTTGGTCACACCAGCACCTGCACAGCTGTGAGCGACGCCTCAGAGCTCCAGGCCTCTGTTCGGCATCGCGTGGGAGCTGAAGCGCTTCGTTGGGCATGGTGATGTGACCGTGCTGATGCCCTCAAGTGGGGATAATTGACTTCACCTTGAAGGCTGTTCGGGACGTCTTCGTTTCCTTGTGCAGCTGTGCACGGCGGCACTTCTTAAGCAATGTTAATGACGACATAGCCAGCTTCACATGCGAGGATGTCTCGTCATAGTTTTCAGTCAGCAGCAACGGGCTGTCATGGTCAGGGGCGTACGCAGGATTTTACAATGTTGGGGAGGGAAAGGGCTCCGAATCTCCACTGAAAACCGAGTTACGCATGCAATTCTGACTATTTCCTCAATGTCAGATATTCCCCATCTTTGAATTTTTTTCCTATCTCTCTGACATTGTCAACTTTAACATTAAGGCACGGGCACATTGATGCACGCCATAAATTTTGTGGGGTGGGGGGGGGGGGGCGTATTTTCCTGGGAGCTACCATGTCCAAATGTCCCTGGCAACGGGATATTGTATACGGGATTTTACGCTTGCCTGCCCGGTCGACACTGAAACTGCCAAACTCAGGTATTATGAAAACCGTTCTCGGCCCTCGTGCCCAATCTGAAGACTCGCCCCGCAGAGACGTACTCTTCAAAAAGGACCGCGATTTTTTGTTGGTAGCAGCACCGAACGCATAATACGTTACTTCGTCGCTAATTACAGTAAAACGGAAGACATAGTCATTACCAAACATCTACATATACTTACGCCAGAAATAAGTATTGGACGTGGCGAATCATTCCCCATCTTGAGATAAATTACGCATTGACATTCAATATTAAAAATAATAATCGTCGGCATGTCTGCCGAACTACCAAGTGCGTAGCTACCGAGGTAAGCAGCCAACCGGGTTCGTCACTTTGTTAGCTACTGGCAGCAATGTTAGCCTATAATTCGCCGAGATTGCATCCTGCATCAGCTGAGAACGGCGTCACGACATTTCTCGCAAATGTATGTGATGCGACAAAATTAAAGCTCACTGAGGGAGCAGCCATATTAGGAACAATGATTTGCAAGTGTTGTTTCATGGTTTCGGTTCTTTCAGATTAGTGTTCAATTCTTTCAGTTCAATTCATTCCTTTCAAATACTAAAATGCGCGAGTCGCCGAGGAGGTGGATGATACGTGGCAGGCTTCAGTGGTGTGCATTTTTTTGAGCGGTCGTGGATTTGGCGCGCTTAGTCAATCATGGCTGAAGCTTCCATGTCGTTAAATAAACAAGCCACACTTCGTTTTCACAACGTGCAAGGAGAAAGCATGGTAGATATAGTAGCTAATAAATGCACCTGTAGCCACGCATAGAAGTCAAAAGTGAAGATGGCGAACACAGCATCCTAGCATGCGTGTTGAGGGTGTGTCATCCGCGGGACGCTTGAGTCATTTCGGCGTTCTGGGCTGGCCGATGGTATTTGATCGAGCGATGATCTAAGCAAGGATGACGACACAAAGTCCATTACAGGGCTTTTCGGCCTCTATTTCGTAGATCACACCGAGGTTTATTTAGGGACCGGGTGTGAGCACATGCACCGGTATATTTGGAGAACGGCTTTCTTCACGTCATGAAGTTCTCACGTTCTTTACGTTTGTTCGTGTTATGTGGTGCATAAAATGCTGCATTGAACCTGGGTGTGTAACAAGACATTTACTGTTACTGCACAATATATTTTAGCCATTTTTAATGTCTAAAACATGTTTTAAGTCACCACTGTTTTTTCGTGCTGCTTTCGGTCAATCTACAGGCGGTACTGCCTCGTTGTTTTGGCTGAGGAAGCCGGATTGCACCATTTTCAATAAGTGTGTTACCTAAAGCAGTGATGAGCATGATATTCGTTGCTTGAACGTTGCGAAACTCCTTATGATGCACTTGTTTTGTTCAGCTAGTAGATGTATGTTTCCTTCATACTGTTCAACTCAAGCATTGTTACTTCGACCAGTTCTGGAGCGATATTGCTTCGACCAGTCATGCATTGCGTTTCAGCCAATAATGTGAAGTTTTGGTCTCTCAAAAATGATAATTTTTTTAATCTACACGTTTGAAAAACGTATTTTGTTAATCTTCACTTCTGAAAGACCGTTAAGTCCCGACCTTCGCCGTCCGCGCGTGTCGACAGCCGTGCGGTTTTTCAGCACGCTTGCTAGCCTGTGGGTTTAGGATAGTCTATCTAGTTAGTCTAGATAGTCTAAATAGTCTACACCCCTCCAAAACACCTGCGATAAATGTGCACAAAAACACCCGACGTTAAAATGGGCGGGTTCGCCAGCCGCGTTTCTTTTTTTTTCCTTTCACCTGTAGCGCAATGGTATGTTGAACATCGCTCAGGCATCGCGCAGTGTTAGTGTTGTTCGCAGCAGCATTGCGGGAAGCGGTAACCGGGTCATGTTGCATGCAACCCACTCAACTCGTCGTGAACCTCAGCCATTCCCTATGTTTTGACCATTATAGACGCAACGTTGACCACGTTTCGTGCGACCCCGGGTCTCATGACGTCTCGTCTACTGCAGGTACGGAGGCGTTCAGCGACTACCGCAGCTCGTGGTGGGTGATCGTCATCGCCCTCGTCGCCTGCATGCTGATCTCGCTGCTGTGGATCCTGCTGATGCGCTACGTGGCCGGCTTCATGATCTGGACGGCTCTGCTGGGCACGCTCGCCGCCCTCGTGTGCGGCTGCGTGTACACCTTCATTCGCTACCGGCAGCTGTCCGGTGTGCCGGGCAGTGACGCCAAAATAAACCCGCTCGATGCCTTCACCAAGGGCTTCGACTCGTTCCTGCAGCTGCGGCAGACGTGGCTTATCTTCTTCATCGTGCTGTGCGTGCTGTGCGTGATTCTGCTGCTGGTGGTGCTGATCCTCTGCAAGCGGCTGCGCGTGGCCATCGAGGTCATTGACCAGGCGAGCCGTGCCGTGACGTCGACGCTGTCGACGCTGGCGTTCCCGCTGCTGCCCTGGCTGCTGCAGCTGTGCGCTGTGGCGCTCTTCACCACGCTGGCGCTGTACATCGCCTCCATGGGCCGCGCGCGCTACCTGGTGTCCAACTTGCCGGCCCGCTGTCGCAACACCTGCGCAGGTTATAGCTTCAACGCCACCTGCGAGCCGGACACGTTCGAGAGCACGTGCCGCGTGCAGTGCCCGGAGGCCGAATGCCGCTTCGTGCAGTACGAGAAGTTTCAGGTGATCCCGTACCTACACGCCTACAATATCTTCGCTCTGTTCTGGACGTTGTTCTTCCTGTCGGCGTTCGGGGAAATGGTGCTGGCCGGCACGTTCTCCTCCTGGTATTGGACGTTCGACAAGTCGAAGGACCTGCCCAAGACGCCGCTGATGGACAGCACGTCCCGCACTTTTCGGTACCACATGGGTACCCTCGCATTCGGCTCACTCATCATAGCCATCATCCGCGTCATTCGGGTGACCCTGGAGTACATCTACAAGAAGTGCAAGCGGCACCCGGGCAGCAGCGTGGCGCGCGCCGTCCTCTGCTGCTGTCGCTGCTGCATGTGGTGCCTGGAAAAGTTCATGCGATTCATAAACCGCAACGCCTACATCATGACGGCGACGTACGGAACCAACTTCTGCTCGTCAGCCAAGGACGCGTTTCTGCTGATCATGAGGAACGTGTTGCGTGTGGCGGCGGTGGATGCTGTCTGTGACTTTCTTCTCTTCCTCGGCAAGGCGGTTATCACCGTAGGGATCACTGTAGCGTCGTTCTTTTTCCTGGACCATCGCATTCCGATCCGGGGTCTGGACAAGTTCGTGCCGAACACGCACTACAGCTGGCTGCCCATCGTGACGATTGCTATCGGATGCTTCTTCATCAGCAGTCTCTTCTTCAGCGTGTACAACATGGCCGTAGACACGCTGTTCCTGTGCTTCCTGGAGGACCTGGAGCGCAACGATGGCACTGAGGAGAAACCGTACTTCATGTCCAAGGACATGATGAAGATATTGGGAAAGCGGAATAAGCGTATCAAGGCGGACTAGCCTGGTCAGTGTGGTGTTTAGCCTAGACGTGGGAGCGATCTCCGATATAGCCTGGACGTGGGGACAGGCTCCGGAGTGCAGTGCGGGGATTTGATACCATGGAAAGAAGAGATGCAGTACACCTTTTGTATGGCCGTTATTGTTCGATGTTTGTGGTGTGTCAAGGCAGCAGATTGCGCGCACACTTGTGTGTGTAACGGCAACAGATTGCGGGCACACTTTTCGTGGAATGCGAACTTTGCATTGCTCACCGTTTGAATGAGGCTTGTCATAAAAACATTGCTTTTTGTTTTTGGTTGGGTTGCTGCTACATCTCATCATTGCCACACACATAGGCTGCTTTCCTCCGACGATCAAGCCCCAGACGCTCTTTCCGCCAGAGCATTTTTGCCCTGGATTGGATGGGGAGAGACTACACATGGAAACACTTTTGTTGTTACAACGGAGACCATCCCTTCGCGCGGACGCGTCGGTCGCTGTGTGCATTGTCTGAACAGATGCCCGCGTAGCATGACAGCTGGGTAAGCAAAGCTGCCCGTAAGCCCAACTCCGCCAACACTGCTTCGTGATTGAATTCGATGGAAACGACGTGTCTTGTTCGTTCAGAGAAATGTTTTACATTTAAGGCCATCAAAACAAGCGTTAGATGTTATTAAGCAAGCTCACTTCTAAGTATTGGTATATGTTATAACTGGAAAGGACTGCTCTAGACAGTATGATTCTCCGTTTAGTGAATATGCCAGTGAATATGCTCAATGCGTCATGGTAGGATTACGTCATCGTACCGTGACAACATTGAGAGCCAGTTGACGACTGATATGTGTGGAAATTGCACTCGCGAACGCCGGATGGGAACGTTTCAACAACTGTTTTTTGGCCTTGATCACCGCGTGGCTTATGGAGCGGCGGGATTTGAGTGGCGTTATTATGACGTCAGGAATGCCAAGGTGACTGAAATACTCCTCTCGATATGCCTTTCCCAATTCTGGCGGGCGTGTAGCCCGGAAACTAGAGGGGATTAGGTCTTATGAAGGACAGGATTGCGAACAGCACCGAAAGGTCCAAGATGGCCATCTCAATTCAAAATCTCATATAAATGCGAGAAACCTTTCCGTTAACGAAAGCCAGGGATAGAACGGTTCGCACACAGTACCGATCTCTGGCACCTGTGTCTGGGCTGATGCCAAGAGCGTTGCGCGCCGCTCGAGCCCGGGTGGGGGCCGGGGCTCTGTACGTGCGCCATGCGCCATGTCCCAAGGTCCATTGTGGGACGTGCTGACCTTGGGTCTGATTGGGCGGCTGCCCGCATTCGTGGCAGCGGTCTCCGTTGTGCCCAAGGCCGGGCCCGTGGGCACATGCGTCGATTCGTGCGGCGGCAGCCAAAACCGGTAATTGAGTGCGGTGTGCTTTCGAATTTATCTGGCGTGGCAGATTGTTCGCGCGGTCAGGCTTGTGTTGGACCCTGTTCGCGCGGAATGGGCCACCTCAGATGCAGCGAAATGGGCCGAACGAGTCCGACACACAGACGGTTTGAAGCGTTCAATCGGCTCAAGCCTTTGTTATCAGAGATAGCCATGCTCAACAATGACTGCTTCCAGGAAATATTGAGCAATTCCGAGGTTCACTGCAGCGAAGTCTGCTCATTGGAACCAGAAGTCCAATTTAACCTGCTGTCTGACGATCATAATACAAGAGCATGTGGTTCTTCAGCTAATTGCAATTGATTTGATCGGAAGCCTTCACCAGCGCGGTGGCATGCATTAAAAGGATGATGATCACATTCCACATGCATCGTAGCCGGCGCACCAACAAACCAAAGCTGGGCGGGCTGTTCCGTCTGCTTACGCTCTTCCTACCATTGATTGTGCTGTTGCTTTTCCAGTCGGTGCGTGCCACCTCGGGGTGTTAATTGGTCTTCTTTGAGAGGAACCTGGCCGCTAAATGTTGATTTAGCCCTCCCCCACGCGATAAGTGTTACCAAAATGGGGGAAAGCCTAAATATCATAAGCCTACTTTCTTAGGTGGTATTTTACGAGTGAGAGGAGGCTGAGTTTCACACAAGTTTAGTACTGCAGACTCTGGGTAGCCGAGGGTGGGCAGCTCCACTGGATTTGGACATCGTTCGCCGGGGCGACAGATGATGCACCGTTTTCAGGGTCTGACGAAACGGCATGCAGTACACAGCTTAGTGACGCACTTGCAGCATTTTGTAGCAGGCTGAGAAGACGTCCTACCAGCAGTTTCCTTCGACATTTGACAGCTTACTTATGCACGTAGCATGCTTCAGCAAGTGCCATCTGATTTGCTATCTCCGGTGGAAAAAGGATATAGCTCTGGATCATTCTTATCGTCTCATATGAGAGTGGCATCATGTGTGGCAAATCCGAATTTGATGCATTGCCTGCCACGCGTTGCGTTTTTAGTACTATTTTTGGTGACCGCACGACAGTTCCTTCTTTAAGACACGACAGCATAAAATATATTAACTACCCCCGGAAGCAGTGGCAGAAAGAAAACATGACTCTGCACTGCCTTCTCGTGTTTATTATTTCACAGTGAAGCCTGTCAAAAACCAAGAACATCTTACCGGAGAGATTGGATGGTTGTCCTACACCCAACACGCAGTCTTTAGCAAAAATGGTACCATTTAATAAGCTCAAACATAAACTGAAAAAGAGGAAATTTCAAAAAAGACGTCGGTCGGAGCCAGCTGACCACCTGACTTTCGGTGCCTGAGATTCACCGACTCTTATATTCACAGTAACGGAAAACTTTTGCCAAAAAACTAAGCAGGACATTGCTTGAGCATCGCTTCATCAGCAGGCGTTTTTTCTTTATTTCTCACAGGGTCCGCATGTTTATGACGCTTATCCAAATTCTACCCGGGTGTACGAGCTATTTCATGCTTGGGCAGAAACGAAGCAACATGACAGCGTTCCGGCGGAGCATTACAGTAGTGATCAGGACCTGAGCGGACGCCGAGCTTCAGACAGTGCAGTTGGAAGCGAGCAACAGAAATCACCTACGGTCTGGATGGTCGCCGGAATTTCGAGCGCTGAAATAAGTTCATTTGTGAAGGTTTACTGCTGTGGTGACTGACCGCAAAATTCGCCAGGATTTTTGTTGGATATTGGCCGCGATAAACTGACGAACACGCCTCTGTATAATTTTTGTCCTACTTATCCCAGCTTAAGACACGGCGTGCATTCCACGCGGGATAACAGGAAGGTGGCATCGACTGCGTCGCAAATGGCTGACATATCCTTTGGCCGGACACTGCTGAGATCATCCGTAGGAGGTGCGATGCAGAACGAACCCCACCTATCAGCGGCTGGTGTCACGCTTTTATCTGCCCTGTAGGAGTGGCAAAAATGTGCTTTTTGTCGCCGGCCGAATTTCTGCGGACGGAGCCGTCACCAGCAGCGTGGCGCGATACCTGCGACGTGAAATGGCGATGACGTGCGCGCCCGCTAGCGTCATCAGAGATCGGCGTATCATCGAAAACCTCTTATATCACCGCACTTTACAATATCATGCACACAACCAAAACGTACCTTTATGCAATGCCATTCAACTATTGCCAGGATAATTGCCAATATCATGCACACAACCGAACCGTTCATTTATGCGATGGTATTCAAATATTGCACAGGATAATTGCTGCTGCGAAGACTGCAGACACACCGGCGCTAGAGGATGGAATGGCCTAACTCCAAAAGCAGTCTTCTTCCACCCTGGGGACTTGCCGTGGCCTCACGTTCAAGCTTGATCTACGGCTGGATTTGCTATTCTCAACCGCAAAAAAGCCGTGTAGGATCTCGGCAGCCAGGGCTGCTGAGTACGCGGCAGAACTGCAACCGGTCGCAGGCGGCACTGGGGGATGACGTCACACATACGAGCCACCTTAGGGTCATGGCCCTTTGTGGAAATAACGTGTGTGCTTCGAACCCAACTATCATGATACTGTCCACCATACATCGCTCCAGGCCCGGCGCGACATCCATTGCCTGGTGGGCACCTTTCGCTGCGCTGTTGCGGCGTGTGCGTACAAGATTAAACTGGGTTTCTTTGTTGCCTGGAAAGAAAGAAGCAATATATAGGGTTCTGGGTCGGGCTCAGAGTGAGTTGAGGGCATCTGCGCAAATGCTTCACAAGAGGTTGTGGGGGCTTTCTGGATGAAGGGTGCATCGGGGTCACGGAAAGATGGAATCACAGAACGGTTTGAAGAAAACAAATATCATTTGTTTCATATTTGTGTCACGCTGAGCACATAAGAGGCCCCCCCCCCCCCCATGCCAGCTTGTGGGATGTGCGCCGCAATATTTTGCCGTGGTCGTCGTCAAGCCTTTCGGTCAAAAGCATTTTTGGCACCAAGCGCCGCGTGAAAATAAATATGTTTTCATCGACTTTATCCATCAAGTCCACAAGTTTTACCACTCTTGCTGCCCTCGCTACCGCGATCTGACATGAGTCCGTCACCGCATTCTCCGTTGCTATTTAGTTTTAGAATAATGAGTATGCTGTCGCGGTGGCCGTCTTCCAAAACGTGGGAACATGACATCGGAGAATTTTCTGGTTTCTAGGTGCCTTTTTGCATGGTCTGCCCGGCGTCCCCTCCCCCAAAGGCTTCTACCGAAGGCAGCCATCTTGGCAGCTATATCTGACACATTTACGACTTCACCGGCACTCAGTGTGGCGAATGCAGCAGGTCTGGCAGCAGACCATCCTCTGGTCCGACGGCGCCTCGGCAGCGCTGCCAGCGCAAAACATCCGGTCCACGCGCGCATCCGGTCCCTGGTCTGTAGGATGTTGCTTTATATTGGGCCACCGTTTATTGTACCAAGGAGCTGGCGGAGACAGTGGAGTAGCGTCTGGCGTTTGCCTGTGGTGATGTCAGGTCTGCTCTGAGACCTGCTGTACCGGTGACATTGGAGCAGTGTCAATGTTCGCCAGGCTGACAGAGGACTGACAGAGGACACGTTCTCAGGCTAACAGGACGCCGGGCCGTCAATTTTGGGAGCCATAATGAGATCGAACATGGCAGGACCGAGCTCAGGCCGGTGAAGATCGACCTGAGACGCTGGAAGGCTCTCAAATGAGAACCGTGAAGCGCAGCGACATGCTCCGTGACGGGGCGACCTGCGGGGGGGGGGGAGGCGTGACAGGGCGACCTGGGAAACTCCCAGTGCACCGTAAGTGACGCGGTTTCTGTTTCGACAGGCGCCTGTGGCGAAGTGTTTGCGAAACGGCCGCGACGGTGACCTGGCCGCGACACGTGCGCTGTCGCCTCTGCTGAGACGGCAGACTGATGCTTAGAGATTCTGTCGTGACCCTGGCTGCAGATCGGCAAAGAGATCCGGTGTGGCTATGCTAATAGCTTTTCAAAGTTTGCTTTCTGAATCAAGTAAACGTGATGTTCCCAGATAGCAGTATTTTAGCCCCGACAAATACCGCAAGATGAACACAATTCTACTTGTCACTTTTGCATAGTCTTATGGCACCGTTGATTTTGGCCTACTGGAGTTTGCGTTAGAATGATGGGGCTTACATGATAAAGGTACCAGACTGTCGCAGGTTCTATCAAAGTACATTTGGTACCTTGAAGCCGAGAAGAAATATGAGATGTCAGCCGCGAGGTGCGACAGCCAACTATGCATGCAATTTCAATGCAAAAATGTGGTGGAATCTAATCACACAAATATTTAATTCGAGATCGTGGTGGTTAGTTAAAAAATTGTACGCATTCCTCACCAAAGTCCATTGGCGACCCCGGATGAGAGGAACGCTCTTTCATTGGTTCCCCTACAATGGCA